TCTACAAAACCGTGGTTTTTTTTTGTTTGTTTCGATCTTTCTATGACGCCATCTACCCACCTATCTATATGTCTGTGATTGTGCTTTCTTTCACGTGATTTGGCAGCTCTCATTTCTCAGTCTTGTCACTCAACTCAATAACGTGCCTGCGAGTGCCTCTAGACTACATGGTGGCGCGGCACTAGCATTCACTTACAGCAACAACTGCAAAGGAAACAAAAAATACGATTGGGGTAACGAAAATAAGATCAGTGAGGTTAGTGAAGTGTAGCGGAAGAAAGCCAAAGACGTAGCGTAAAAAAAATACCCCGGCGCATAATGAAGAAAGAAACTGAAAATGGAAAAAGAAAAACGAAACGGATAGTTATTTCCTTCTATGGTGAAGGGTATGTGTACTCGCACGTGTGTTTCTGTGTGTGTGTCTGTGTAATTGGTGCAGACTCCCACACACTTTTTTTTTGTTTCACTTGCTGGCTTCCATACAGCGCGATGACAATAACAACAAAGTCGCAAACAACACCCGCCACTCTTTCTCACCTGTTGCCTCCCGGGCTGCCGTGAACTTATACACACGTGTAGCAGGACGGGTTGGGGAATGAGCGATGGGGCGGGGTGAGGCACAGAGTGGTGGGGCGTGCTTGATGTATGGTGTGCGTGCATGTAGAGAAAATAAAATGAAAACAAGAATGCATGAAGAATGCGTGCTGAGGAAAGACTGGTGGACAGCGACGAAGAAGAAAATAGTCACTGCGAAGATATGGAACTCAGCATGAAAGGTGCTGATAGAAAGAGTATACTTTCTTCGCATACCTCATTTTCTTTCTTTTTTTTTCTATTTTCCCTGTGTTCTTGTTGTTGCTATGTTTAAAAAAAAAAATGGAAATAGAGAGTGAGTGAATTGGATGTTATATGCGTGTGTGTGCTTTTTTTTTCCGGCGCAGCACATGGAGATCCACGTGTCGCCCAATTCTAAGAGCCGTATGTTCATCCGCACGCCTCCCCTTTTCTTCTTTCGCACGTAATGCATGTGTGTGTGCGTTGATTGAGGTGTGTGTTGGGTTTATGTCGCTGCCCCTGCAGCTGCCGTTGGTATTCGCCCCGTCTCTCTCTCTCTCTCTCTCTCTCTCTCTATTTGTAGCATTCACTCCGTTTGTTGTTGTGCGGTGTGGCTCGAAGCGACGCTCCCGCTTCTATTTTCTCCTCTGGAAGGCGGGGAGAACAGAAACACACACACACGGAAGGTCAAGGAAGGAATACACACAGCGGGGTAATCAGAGAGAAGGTGCGTGAGGACACAAGAGGGGGAGGTAGTGTGTGATGTTTTCCTCGCAGTTCGATGACAACCCGTTTGCAGAGGATGCCGGGGGGGAGTCCACGCTGTCAGACATCGGCGACACAAACGACAAAAACACCAACAGGGACGAAAAGCGGCAACGCGACGACACGCACGCTGCGGATGAGCCGCCGAAGAAGGTCGTTCGGCACGACGATGCCAGTGATGAGAACATTCACACAAAAGTGGATGAGATGGAGGCCCCGGTAGAGGCAACAGAAACAACGACAGCGCCGCCGTACACTGGGTATGCGATGGAAGATACAGAAGAAGGTGTCTGCGACAGTGAAGACAACTACAGCTCCCAAATCTGCCGCGTGGCAGAGTTGGAGGCAACACAGCGACAGACCACCCGGTCGCACCGCTTCCGTCTGACGCTTGCGCGGCAGGAGAATGAGGCACTTCGCACCTACATAGGCCGTCTCCGCATGTCCCTGATGGAGATGCGGCAGAGGCCGCAGAAAGGGGGCAGCCACGCTTCCGGCTTCGTGAAGGAAGCGCAACCACAGGCACATGAGAACCCCTCCGCTCTTTCTACAATGATGGATGCCTACGACAGCACCGCGCGGGGGAGGCGACTCGCCTCGCATGTGCACTGGCTGCAGCACCTGGAAAGTGTCGAGACTAACCTGACTCAGGAGAGCTGCGCCACAACTGTGGACTCTGAGAGTTGGATGCCCGCGCTGTCGCCATCTTGGCAGGGCGTGGCTCCCTGTAAGCCCTCCAGCACAGCAGTGCATCGGCTGGAAAACATACAAAAATCCCTGAAGAAGCTGTTGCCTGTGTTAGATGCCCCTACAGCGCAGGTGGTGACAACATTGGTGTGGGAAATACAACGGCTCTCTGAAAAGAGCGACGCCTTGGGTGAGGTGGTCAACTCCTTAGAATCGCAAGTCCAGGCGCTGCGTTCGAGATGGAAGGACCACATTTTGTGGGGAACGGAGCGTGGTCTTCTTGTTGCTGAGGAGCAGATGAGTAGCCACTTGGCGGCCCTTTGCCCCACGTCGACAGAGCGACAGCTTTTTCATCAGAAGCAGCAGCTGCAGAAGAGGCTGCACCGTGCTGAGGTAGCCATCGGGGTCTTGCTTTCTGCTGCCACAGGCGTACGTTTGCAGTCAGTATCACCTGCTACACTGCAAGCCGCTCTGCAACGCCAGGAGGAATTGGAAAAGCTGCGGGATCAGCTTAGTCGTGAGGTTCTATACCTGCGAAAAATGCTGTGGGACAAATTCTCCTCGTCGCCACTGTCTGTGCTCCGTGCTGAGGTGGGCCAGCTCACAAAGGAGACAACGGAAGAAGGGCGGGTGATTCTCCTGCAGCACTGCTGCGCCGCGCTTTCCCAGCAGCTAACCGGACTAACCCACCGAATCATCTCCAAGCTACTGAGAGGTTCAACAGCGTGCCCATCATCAGCTGAGCAGAGCGAGCAGCTGCTTGCGTGCGAGGAGGAATTGACCACACTGCACGCTTCAATCGTTGCATTTCTTACGGAAAATGCGCGGATTCAGCAGGAGATAAAAGATTTGTCGCTTGTCAAAGTTCTGGCAGCTCATGGTAGCGCAGCCCTCATATTTTTTGCCGAAAGACTACAGATGCCATTCCTGTACAAGCAGCCAGTGGGGGAGGAGATGGGTAATGGGAACAACGAAGGTGACAACAGTGTTGAGGGAAATGAAGAAGAGTTGGATGCCCAAAAGATTCTCGCCGATACTTTTATGAAGAACACTGAATGCCTCGTTGGGTTTCTCAACACGCATATGAAGGGCGTCATGGGCCTTTTCACGGAAGAAAAGAAGCTCTGCGGAAAGATTTCGTTTTTGCTGCGAATGGCGGTTGCGGCGGATCGGCTGCTCTTTAGGAAAGTTGGTGTGCTTCTCTCAACAGCTCCCACGGGGGACATTGCAAAGGAGCTCGACGAGGTCCGTGTGTGCTTTGAGCAGCCACAGCACATTCCACAAGATCTTCCCCCGTTGGATGCACTTCAAAATGTTCTCCAGTCACACTCGAGTCGTCACGCAAAGGAGCTGTTAAATCGTTGGAGTGCGGCGGACAAGGCAAGGGAGAAGTTGCAGGAGGACTTGGACTGGTGCAGTCAGCAGTACCCAAGACATGCTGCATCTGAGCTTCGAGAGGCCCAGAGAGAGCTACAGCAACTGAAGGCCTCGGTGGCGGCGGTCGAGACCCGAACTAAAGACACGGCACCACTCGAGGTTGAGCTGAAGAGTGGAAAGGAGAAACTCGCCCAGCTCCAGCAGGAGCAGCTAGCGTTGCAGAAAGAGCTGGCTGCCGCGGAAGAAGAGTGGCGACTTGTAGAGGAGAATGAAAGAGCCAAGGCGTTGGCAATTGGCTTTCCACAACCGAACCATGAGCCCGATGAAGAGGGCAACGTTGAGGTCGATGAAGAGGGCAGCGCGGAGGCCGATGAAGAGGGCAGCGCGGAGGCTGATGAAGAGGGCAGCGCGGAGGCTGATGAAGAGGGCAGCGTGGAGGCTGATGAAGAGGGCAGCGCGGAGGCTGATGAGGAGGTCAAAGACGAAGTCGCCTGAGAGACTGTTGTTAAAAGGAATGTGGCGTGGTGTACCCTGTTCCATCTATGTCTGTCGGGGTGTAATCACCCTTCTCTTTTCTCCGCTGCGCCTGCAGTGTTATAGTCTCCTTCTTTTCATCACTCTCTTATCCCCTGCACTCCGAAGAAGGGCTTGTTCTTTTAGTATGGCTGCTGAGGACTCAGCGGAAGCGGCAGCAGGGCTTGTTGAGGCGTTCCGTGCCCTGGACGGGCGGCGCGTGGGTTGGCTCTCTACGGCGACGGTGAAGTCGCTCCTGGAGAGATATGGTGACTTCTCAGACGCGGAGAAGGAAGAGTTTCTCGCGGAGGCAGATCAGGGGGCCAAAGTGCACTACGAACGTTTGGTGAATGAGATTATATTTGGTGATAGTCGCTGATGTGGTGTACGATGGCGGGCTGTAATGAGCGCTCTACGCACACACACGCGCAAACAAACAAACACAGTATCTCTCCTCACACTTTCCTATCGTCTTTGCATGCGCATGTATGTGGTGTCACTGTTCATTGTCAGCACTTCGTGATAGAAATGATGATGATGAGCGACGCACAGCAACTTTTCAATTTTTCTTGTTGCTTCATTCTTCGTTGTTTTCGATTTTTCTCGACACCTGTCCGTCTACGTAGCTGAGTATTGCCTTGTTCCGGTTTGTGTTGCTCCTAGCAGCCAAAGAGGGATCAGGAGGAACGGTGAGAAAGGGAGAACAAAAAAATAACATCTCTTCCTCAAGGGCATAGTTGTACTTCTGTACCAGCTTCACTCGCTGTTTCATTTTGTTTTATACACAAGCCCTTGCTGGCTGAATTCGACAGAAAAAGTGTGCGCCCGGCAGAACAATCATGACGGTGTCTGCTGTTCCAGATGTGTGCACGCTCGTGTGGCCATTCTTGGGGGATCAGGAGGGTGCAAGTGGTGAGGACATCTGGTTGATTGGGTGGAACCCGCGGGGGTTGGTGGTAGTAGTTGTCACGATTGTGCAGAGCGCGGCGATTGAGGATGCCCAGCAGACGCTCGAGCAGATTAGGAGACACGCAGAGGGCGGTAGCGGCGGCGCAAGCAGCAGGAGTAGCAGTGAGCACCGTGGGCCACAGCGTAGGGACGTTCCCAGTTCCGCGTCTCTGTCGGTGCTCGGTCGCCTACGCAGCCCACAAGCAACGCCGCGTGTGTCATCCGACAGTGTGAGTGAGCGCGCCGATGTGTGGGTGCGCAACGAGCGGCAGCTGAGCGACATCTGGTTAGAGTTGAATCGTGGGCCCTTGCTCAACCAAGTGTGGTGCTGCGGTTACCACGTGCTACCTTGTCACCTCCATGTCATTCGTACCGATCCACACGTGCGCTATTCCGCCACGCCAACGGCGTTTAGTGTCACCGCGCGATTTGGCTGCTGTGGTATTGCTGCCCTGCAGCAGGGCGCAGTGCCCCTTTGTACCCTGGGGTCGCACTCGACACTGGAGGGCGTGCTTCTGCCACCACACATGATAGCCTTGGCTGGTCCGTGCACGAGGGTGGAGGAGGAGTTTGATGGTCAGTCCCAAACACGCAGCTTCATTAGGCGCGTGAAGGAGGACACATGGGATAGCAATGCCTCCATAGATGACATTCCCAGCAATAATGACGGCAGTTTAACGCGGCGAGATCGGGATAAAGTTGAGCAAGTCGGCCTCATGTTGGAACTAGAGGAGCATGATTCACCATCACCGCTTCTATCATCACCGCTTATGGAGTTACCACCGAGGTTGGATTTTCCCACGAGTGTAGACTGCGCGGAGCTGAGCCTTCTCCTTCGCGCCAACAACTGTGGTCGGGCTCTCCGTGAGTCCGTCGAAAATTGTGGGAAAGAAAGTGGAAACAGCAATAGTAAGAAATCCGGAGAATATACATCGAGCAAGCGGTCTTCATGGGAGAACCATTTACAAACGTTCATTAGTATGATAATGAAAATGTTGCTCTTCACACTAGTGGTACTCACATGGCTTGGAAAACTTTCATGTACTGCTGCTTTGTTGGAGTTTCGACTCCGCGAAATCATCAATTGGCTCGCGCTTCTCCAGGGCCGCACGCGTGTCTGTGGACTTCATCCTGTGTTGCCTCATATGCAACACGAGGACCCTTCGTTTCAGCGTTTCTGTGCTGTTAACTTCCTTTCACGCCTCGTTGTCGACGGTCTCCTGGGAACACTTGTGAGTCTTCTTCTTGCCATTGGTGGAAACGCCCTGATTGACAAGTCAGGGAGCTTCTGCAGGTATTTTCTTTACGATTTGCATATGGGGTACATGGACTGGTTTGAGGGGTGGCCCGCCGGTCTCAAGATGAATGAGGACCTCAACATGACTCTGTGTTTCTTCGCTAAACTGGTCCTGACGACGAGATTGGACTTTCTTGTGAACTTCAACTGGGTAGAGCTCGTATACAGGCTGTTGGTGTACACTGCCCCGTTTGGCGCTAGCTGTGCCTTTGCACTCGTCTCAGATATCTGTGTGCTAGTCTCTCTGCACCTGCTGTTGTTATTCTATGTCATCATGGGGCCGTATCGTGTGATGCGGTCCATGATGGGGAGTCTTTTCCTGCAGTTCCGCGGCAAGAAATACAACCCGCTGCGGCGACGCATCGACGCCTACGACTTTGATGTGGACCAAATGTTAATGGGTACCCTTCTCTTCACAGTGACAGTCTTCCTCTTCCCGACGCTCGCGGTGTACTACCTCTACTTTGCACTCGTGCGCACCTCCATCTGGCTGGTGCAGGAGGGACTCATCACCACCGCCCACCTGACGCTGTACCTGCCGGTGTTTCCCGTTATCTACTGGGCCATGTACCGGTGGCAGTGGCCCGGCGGCGTAGCCATCACGGCACCAAAGCTGACGCGTGCGCGGCACCACTCAAATGCCGCAAGCTCCTCCGCCCGGGCGTCCACAACGGTGGAGGTTACGGTGCTGTCCAAGCCACTGGAGCTGCGTATATTATTGTCAGACTTTCTGTTGGTGCTCAACAATCTCGCGAAGCTGCGTCCTTTCCATATGATGATGGTCATCTACCACGCACAGGTGTGGGAGAGCACGAATCCGGTGGAGCGCCTCATCCCGCACCTACAAAAGGACTGCATCCACGCGAGCGTTCAGGTGAGGCCACCGCCCGCAACAGCAGCAGGAACAGCAACAGCAACAGCAGCAACTGCCACGACACCAGCGTCCACGGCAGCAACGGGGGCCCCACCGCCGCGGTCTCGGTAGCTTTCAAATGAGAGGAGGGTTTTATATCCAAACGCCTACGAAATCTTGTACACCCTCTCTCTCTCTCTCCCTTTTGCAACTCTAATCCCGCCTCGGTGTTGCTTGTTTTCGCTTTCTTTGAATCTCCTCTGTCCCCGTGCATTGGCCTCACAGATGGATGAATACGTGTCCCCGTTATGCTCCATTTCATGTTTTCTTTTTCTCTTCGCTCCAACCAGTATAAACAACGCACAAAACAAGAAAGAAGGAATAAAGGCACAGATCACGAACGTCAAAGGTGACTCCAAAACAAAACAAACGAAGAAAAGGGGGAAAGGGACACACACACACACACACTGAAGGGGTGGAGGAAAAAAGGCGGGGCGTCGTGCACACATAACACCTGTGGGGAAGAATTTTAGGAGGCATCACACGTAAGCGTGTAGCGTGGGTAGCACACCGCCCGCACGTACAAGCACGCGCATAGGAAGTCTCTGCTTCTGTGTGTGTGTGTGTGTGTGTGTGTGTCAAGGAGCAAAAAGCCACGCACTTCTGGACAAGTAGCAAACAGTTAAATAAACAGAAAAGCAACGTAAAGAGGTAAAAGAAGCATAAAGGCGCATCAAAAGACGCAGGGATTTAAAGAGATAGCAGTGCAGTGAATACCAGAATAAGGCTTGAGGAGAAGAATTCAGTGAAAAGCAGGCAATACCACGATAAAGGGTGTTTAGGGTCGGCGAGCATCTTTGCGTGGGGGGTGGGGGAACGTTCCCTTGTCTGACCTCTTAGGCCTGCAGTTAGGGAGTGTGTGCGTGTGTGGTTGCCGGTTCATTGACAAGACCCAAACTTGGAATTCGTAAGATACCGAGGGACGAAACGAAAAAAAAAGGAAGGCCTGATTCTATTCTTTCTATCGTCATATATATATATATATATATATATATTTCCACACGAAGAAGTGCACNGAAACAGGTAGAGAAGCCTAATAGGAGAACGAACGACAATATAAGAGAAGAACAGAGCACATACATTTCAAAACGGAAGCTTCACCAATGCCCCCGCTGAGGCAAGAGATGGGCTCCGCCTCACGTGACCCGTCGAGTGAATATCAAATCATTGGCAACTATGCAATGGGTGAAACTATTGGGAAGGGAAGTTTCGGCAAAGTGAAAAAGGGTCGGCACCTTCCAACAGGAGAGAACGTTGCAATTAAGATACTCAACCGCAAGAAGCTGAAGAGCGCCAATATGGACAAAAAGGTCTTTCGTGAGATCAAAATACTGAAGCTATTTTCCCACCCTAATATTTGCCGGCTCTATGAAGTGATCTCTACCCCCACTGACATGTACCTTATCATGGAGTACGTTGAGGGCGGCGAGCTCTACGAATACATTGTGAAAAAGGGCATGTTGAAGGAAGATGCAGGGAGATACATTCTGCAACAGATTGTTTGCGCGCTTGAGTACTGTCACCACTTCCTCGTCGTGCATCGCGATCTCAAGCCGGAGAACATTTTACTCGGGCCTGGGATGCAGGTGAAGTTAATTGATTTTGGTCTCTCCAACATCATGAAGGACGGGGAGTTTCTAGCAACATCTTGTGGGTCGCCGAACTACGCTGCACCGGAGGTAATTTCGGGCAAGATGTACTTCGGCCCTGAAGTGGATGTGTGGTCGTGTGGTGTCATTCTCTACGCCCTACTGTGCGGATGCCTGCCGTTTGATGAAGAAAGTGTCCCATTGCTTTTCTCTAAGATCAAAAAGGGGCGCTACAGTATACCCTCACACGTCCCACCCGGCGCACGTGAGTTGATTGAGCAGATTTTGGTCGTCGATCCCCTTGTGCGTCTGACGATACCTCAGATTCGCGACAACGCGTGGTTCAATACCAACCTTCCCATACGTCTGTCGTACAATGAAAGTGTTTTCTTGGTGCGGGAAAAGCGTATCTCTCCGACTGTCGCCAGTCGGGCGGCAAAACTTCTCGGCATGCGGGACCGAGATGTGCGTAATGAGATTGAAGGAGGAAGTGGGCCTGGTTTTGTAGCTTACAGCATTCTTCTTGATGTGGAGCGGCGCAAGCAGATCATCGCGGAGTCGGAGTCCCTTGCAGTGGACGACGAAACGCCTGACAGCTCCAGCAGTGTTGCGACACACGTCGTCAAGGCAACGGAGCGCGAGCTTAACCTCGGGCTGATGCTCACGCAGAGCCCTGCGATGGAGATGCTCCTGGATGTGGGGGACGCCACCTCTAACAAACGCGCCTACAACGGCGGCAACTTCCTGCCAGTGTCGGTGCAGGAGACACGGACGTTCAACGCATCTATGCATACGCCAGGGTCAAATGGTGCCTTTAGCATCTCGAAGCGGCCGGAGTCCCTTGCGGATGTTTCCAACCCGTTTGGCTCGAGTTTTATTGGAAGTGGAAATAGCATGCATCGCCCATCTGTGCTCGGCACGAGCGGGCGCTGGGGATCTGGCGGTGCACTTGGCGCAAGCCTCAGCGAACGTCAGCGCGTCGGGTCCGTGGCGAAGTCGCATATGATGTACACACAGGAGGAAGAAGAGTTTATTGTGAAGCACAATGTTGGCTGGCGTGTTGGTTTGATGAGTGACTTCAACGCTGCCACTTCACTGAGTGTTATATACAGCATCTTGGTGTCCTTCTCGATGGAGTGGAAGGTGCTGGCGCCATTTAGTCTGCTTATTCGCACAACGCCCAGCACGTGGTCAAAGATTGGTCTCTCGGTGACAAAGTCACTGACGCCGCTCTCTCTAGCAGTCTCGGAGGTTCCTGATAACGGCGCCGCTTCTGAGGGAGCAGGAGAAGCCGAGGTCCCACCGCGGGTGATTTTAGTTCTTTACCTTTTCCGAATTCACGAGAAACATGACAAGGGTTACTTGGTGGATTTTAGCGTTGTGAGAGGGTCGTTTCTGGCGTTGGACGTCGTGCTGCGCCTTTCCGCGGCGCTCATTCAGCGCATGGGCTGAATTTGCGGTGGAGCCGAGATGGCTGCTCCCCGGATAGAGAAAGAAGGAGAGGAAAACACGCTAAGAGGAGAAGAGAGAGAGAGAGATGGTGGGCGGAGTGAAATCAAAGTGAAAAAGTCGTCTGTTGTGGTATAATAACGAAGTGAAGTGGTCTGGTGGGTGTGAACGGCCGCATGCAAA